AGAGCAGGGTGGGGGGTGGGGGGCTGAGGGGCTGTGAGTAGGGGGGAGCGGGAGCTGGTGGCGCTGGGGACGAGAGCAAATGCGGTGTGGAGTCCCAAGGCTGGGCTGCTCAGCGATGCTAGGCCTCTCTGGGCCTCCGACTCCCCATCCATGGAACCAGCAGTGTTGTAAGAGCAAATGGAGATCAGAGGACTAGAAAGCCATATAATGCCTGAAAGAGTGGGTTCCGAGCGAGGTTGCCGGGACCCATAGCCCTACAAGATGATGTATGACCTTGAGCAAGTTACTGAACGCCTTGGGGCCTCGGTTTCTTATCTATGAAATGGACGATAACAGCACCTCAGAGGACCGTGGGGATCGGATGAGTTAATCCACGGAAAGCCGTTGAAGGGCACCTGGCACGTGGTGAGCACTTTATTACAAGGATTCATATTACTGTGTTTTATTATCCTCTGGGAAGTGGCTGAAGCACGGGGAGTGTTCGCTATTCTCAAGCCTTCAATGCTGGGTGAAGAGCAGGTCATTATGTGATTGCTGAATGAACGGAGGGCGGCCGTGGGCCTTCCGTACTGGGGCTCCCAGAAGGCAGCGCTTGGGATAGGACAAGGTGGGAGGAGACAGGTTGGGGCTGAATGGAGGAAGAGCTGGCTGGTGTTGGGGAGAGCACCCTGTTTCTGCAGGTGTAGGAACAAGGGCTTGTGACTACTTGTGGGTGGGCTGATCCTCCCATGGAGGGTGGGCTGGAGTGACAGTTCTGTTTTTGACCTCCCTCTTTCCCCTCGGGAGCACCGAGTTTGCTGGTTTAGCTCCTGGTTCTAGGCCAGCCAGTGGGTGTGATCCTGGGCAAGCCCCTTTACCTCTTAGAGCCTCTACCTACCTGTAAAAAGGATGATGATATCTTTAGAGAGAAACACGTGGGTTTAGGAACCAATGAGTGTGACGGGCCCGGTGTGAGCCTGAAGTGGCACATCGTAGTGTTTAGGAGTATGGGTTTGAATCTGGACAGAATCCCAGCTCTGATAACTAGCTGTGCAACCCCGGACAAGTCACTTACCCTCTCTGTGCCTCATTTCCCGTTTGTGACATAGGAATGATACCATCAGTGTCTTCCCAGCTCGGTCCTGGATCTCTAGAGAGAACTAATGCCTGGAGTGAAATGCGGTGGGGACATCTAGCTGCTCAGAGGCCTCTCTGATCCTGCCACCCCTAGGACCTTGCCACCTCCATCCGTCCTGCGGCAAGCCCACCTTCTGTACTACGATGATGGCCTCCTGAGTGTCGCTGTCGGTGGTGACCTTGAACACGTCGCCACCACTGCCGCTCTCCTCCTTAAGGTGGTAAGTCATGTCCGTGTTCTCGCCCACGTCCGAGTCCTCGGCCTTCACTCGTCCCACGGCTGTGCCGATGGGGGCTGACTCCTGGATGCTGAACTGGTACATCTCTGTGGGGACACGTCTGTGAGCAGCGATCGGAAGCCCCTACCCCAGCCTCCACCAGTTCTAGGGGAAGGAAGAAGGGGGCCCGGATCAGCTTCTAGGAAAGACTATCTGCCAGGGGCTCCCAGCTGGCTGGGATGGGGGCCGGGAGAGGCAGATCTTCTGCAGAAGTTTGGGAGGCAGGGCACGGAGCAGGGTCCTAATCTTGACGCTTGGGTTTATCACTGAGTACTTTGGTAAAATGCCTGAAGTTCTTTGGGCCTTGGTTTCGGGACAGAGGAGCACAGCGATAAAGACTAAGGCTCCAGGGTCAGTCCTCGCTGTGGGACCCCGAGCCTTGCTTTTGTCATCTGTAGAATGGGAAAGGAATAACAGGGGTACGTCCCTAACAGCAGTGTTGTTAGGAAAATTAGTTGAGGTTATGAAGTGCATACATGCTTAGTGCAGCGCCGGCACATGGGAGTGACTTAATAAATGGAAAAAAAGTGTCTTAAAATAATGGGCCTTCACACTGATGCTGCTGTTGATGTTACCGGCATCCATGTCTTCATTTATGCCTTCATTTGTCGTCTATGATGTCCCAGACATCATGCGGGTCTGGGCACTAGGGATAGAGCAACAAAGCAGACCCAACCCTCTGCTCTCACGGTGCTTCCTCTCAGTGGAAAGAGAAGACACGACACAGCAATAAAACATCCAGGACTGACGGGTGATTGGGGCAAGCACAGGGTGCCCACGAAGGTCTTGTGCAGTTTTAAATAGGCTGATGGAGAAAGGTTTTTTTTTTTTTTTTTTTTTTTTTCTCTGTGAAGGTCTGGGGAGGTGTGGGCATAAGCCAAGCAGATATTTGGAAAAGAGATTTCTAGCAGAGGGAACGGCAGGTGCGAAGGCCCTGAGGTGGGCGCAGAGCCTGGCATGTTTGAAGAATGGCAAGATGGCTCTCATGGCTGGAGGGGGAAGCAGAGGGAGAAGCAGAAGGAATGAGGTCAGAGAGGACGCAGGCAGCAAGCACCCTGCTCTCCAGCCAGGGCCAAGGTCCAAGTGACAACGACTGGCTAAACGATGGGCCAGCCTGGGTGAAGCAGGAGCTGTGGTGATTGGATCTGTCTCTTGGGGCACCCATGGGTCTAGTTAACTCTTGCGTGGAGTAGCTGCCTCTGACTCTTTCTCACAGCAGCCAGGGACTCCAGCTAAAACACAAGGCGAACATGCCACTCCCCTGCTTTAATCCCTTCCATAGCTCCCCGCTGCCCTTGGGGTGGACCTGAGCAAGCTCCTTGAGCTGCCCTACCTGCTCCTGGCTGCTTGACTGCAAGACCTCCCCTGCCTGATCGTCCAGTCCCCTCTCCAGCTCCAGCTCCTGCCTGGCTGAGTGCTTGTGCTTCTGTAAATGCGGCTCATTGTTTCTCACCTCCAGGGGTTCCCTCTTCCTGCCTTCCCCTCTGCCTTCAGCTCCCCATTCTCACTCTTCTCTCTAGTCTCGTTGAATGTCACCTCTTCCAGGGGACCTTGCTCAGATCTCCAGACTCTGCTCTGGGCTCCCATGGCCCCCAGCTTACCCCGTTGTATGGGTTACTGCATTTTGCTCTCATTTCCTGTTTACTTCCTGTGTCTCTTGGGTCTGAGCTCCTGGAAGACAGAGACTGCATCTCTCATTCATCAGGCATTCTGAGGGCCTGGCAGAACGCCAGGCTGTTGCATAAACAAAAATGTCTGGCGACTAGTGAGTACACGAATGAAGGCCAGCAGGAGTCCACATACACTCACCAGATGGACACAGATGAAAGAGTCTGACAATACCAAGTGTTGGCAAGGGTATGGCACCACAGACACGTGCATTTCTTTGTGGGGCCACACAGTTTGGCATTACTTAGTAAAGCTGAAGATGAGTATATCCCATCCACCGGTTTTACCCCTCTGAATATACCCCTCTGGAAAAATGCATGCAAATGAGCATGAGGGGACACATGCCATGATGTTTGGAGTGGTGCCCTTCATGGCAGGCACTAACTGGAAACAATCCAAATGTCATTAACAGCAGAATAGATACACTGTGGAATACTATGCAGCAAGGAAGATGGATACATTATAATAGCAAGCAACAACCAGACGTCATAAACATAACTTTTAGAGACAAAAAGCAAGACGCAGAACCATCTATATCTTATGATTGCATTAATATTAGGTCCCAAAGTGGGACCTAATATTAATTAGACAGCGATGTCTGGCAATGTACACAGAAGTGAATAGACTCGGAAGAAAGGCCAGGAGGGGGTGACGACCATTCGTGCAGTGGTGGCGAACTCTGGAGGATGGGTGCAAGAAGGCGCCAAAGCCAGGAGAGGGCCTGTTGGGGCACCTGGGTCCTGGCCGGCGGTTACAGGAGTGTTTGCTTTATAATTGCTTATTAAACTGGATGCTTCTCTTATGACTTGTGTGTGTGCTACATTTTACAATAAAGAAATGTGAAAGATAGAGAAAGAGAGAGAGAGGAGGAAGGAAAGGAGGGAGGGAGGGAGGGAAGGAGGAAGAAAAACAGGGAGGGAGCGTAGGAAGGAGTGAATGAACAAGGGTCTTCCTCAGGTCCTGGCCTCCTCTGCTCCGCTCTGCCGCACCCCTTCCAGGTCAGAGCTAGTGCAGAGCCTGGCCAGTCGGGCAGAGTCTCGGGGCCCCAGGTTCCTCCTCTGCAGGGTGCTCTGAAGCTTCTCCATCAGTGGGTGTGGCTGGGCAGGCTGGGTGAGCGGGCCGTGGCTGGGCTCAGTGCCAAGCTCCCTGGTGACATGGAGCTGGCTGGCGGGCTCCACCCACCAGCTGCTGTCTGGGCTGAGGCCCTAGGCCTGGTGATAGTGCTGCTGAGCTCTGGGCTAAGGGATTGGATTCCCTTATCTCTCGGGGGGTCAGTCCCCGTGGCGAGGCCTAATGCGAGAGCAGCAGACCTCGAGTAATGACTTGCCCGATAGGAATCAGCCCAGCTCCCACAGCATTTAGTCTCTGCCAGCTTCGGCGGCTTCTCTGGCGGGGCTTTCGGCCTCAGCCTAGGCAGAGGGGCTGGCTGGGCTGAAAGGGAGCTGGATGATAGGGAGCTGGGGGCCTGGGCCAGAGAACACCCCGATCCTGCGTTGTGCCAGGACAGGCAGAGGGTGGGAAGAACTCCCGATTCAGAAGCACAGACTTCTGCCCTCCAGGCTCAGAGGATGAGAGATGTACCTGTCACCAGACTCAAGTTCTCTGCCTGGTGTGGCTACCGCC